TGGTGTAGTAAGGGAGTTGAAGGAAGTGAGGTTCGTACCACAGTTGACGAAGAACATCATTTCACTTGGGACTTTGGAGGCAGCTGGATATCGAGTGATCCTAGAGGATGCTACAGTGAAGGTCACGAAAGGTTCTATGATGGTGATGCGAGGTGTCAGGGAAAACAACCTATACTACTTGAAGGGCAAGACAGTTACAGGGGGTCTGGCAGCTTCTATCACTACATAGGAGGACACTACCACCTTATGGTACATGAGACTTGGACACACAGGTGATAAGTCCCTACATTCATTGGCAAAACAGGGGCTATTAAAAGGTGCTAAGACCTGCAAAATAGAGCTGTGTGAGTACTGTGTACTTAGGAAGAAGACTAGAGTGAAATTTGGCACCGCTGTTCACAACACCCGAGGTACATTGGATTATATTCACACAGATGTTTGAGGTCCTTCCAAGAACACATCTCTTGGTGGGGCCAACTATTTTGTTACTTTCATTGATGACTATTCCAGGAGGAATTGGATATACCCTATGAAGTATAAGCATCAGGTCCTGGATATTTTTGTGGAGTGGAAGAAGAAAGTGGAGCTGTAGACAGGTAGAAAGGTGAAGACTGTACGTTCAGATAACGGTGGAGAGTACAAGAGTGATCTGTTTCTGTAGTTTTACCAGGACCACGGCATTAGAAGAAACTTCATAGTTCGAGAGACACCACAACAGAACGGGGTGGCTGAGAGATTGAACCGTATATTGCTAGAGAAGGTACGGTGTATGATGATACAGAGTGGATTGCCTAGATCCTTTTGGACCGAGGCGTTAGTTTATGCGAGCCATCTCGTGAACAGGTTGACGTGCACTGTGATAGACGGGAAGACTCCTTTGGAGCGTTGGTTTGGTTCGGTGGCTAGTGACTATGAGTCGCTTCGGATATTCGGGTGTCCAGCTTATTATCATGTCAGTGTTGGTAAATTAAATCCGAAAGCGAGAAAAATAGTCTTTGTGGGATTTAGAGATGGAGTCAAAGGCTTCAAGTTATGGGATCCACAGAACAAGAAGATAGTTATTAGCAGAGATGTCACATTGACTAGGCGTACATGATGAGGCCTCGAACCCCTCAGCAGGTAGAGGGAGACCAGACAGGAGAGATATCACAGCAGGTAGAGGATGATGTGACTCCACTCACTCCAGAGAGCACTGTATCTATTGAGGCTCCTACAGAGGTGACATTGGGAGAAGATGAGATGACAGCCGGGCAGATAGAGGATACAATGGATTATGGGACTCAGGAATAGGGTCATGTTCAGGGGTCCATTGTAGCAGATAGACCGAGGAGAGAGATTCGTCGGCCAGCTAGGTATAATGATGTCATGGTCGCATATGCATTATCAGTGGAGGTCGTTGATGATATGGTTCCAGCCACATTCAGGGAGGCAGAGTCTAGCCCCGATTCGATCAGGTGGAGGGAAGCTATGGAGGAGGAGATGCGGTCTCTTCAGAAGAACAATACTTGGACACTTGTACATCTACCTAAGGGTAAGAAAGCTATTGGTTGCAAGTGGGTATATGCGAAGAAGGAGTGATCTTCTATTGGGGACATACGGTTCAAAGCCAGATTGGTTGCCAAGGGATATGCACAGTTTGAGGGCATTGATTATAACGAGGTATTTTCACCCGTTGTGAAGCATTCGTCGATACGGATTTTATTGGCATTGGTGGCACAGTCGGATTTGGATTTGGTCCAGATGGATGTGAAGACAGCCTTTCTACACGGTGATTTAGATGAGGAGATCTACATGACACAACCTCTGGGATTCAAAGCTGTAGGAAAAGAAGATTTAGTTTGTAAGCTAAAGAAGTCTCTTTATGGTTTGAAGCAGTCACCAAGACAGTGGTATAAGAGATTCGACGGTTTTATGATCGGTCGAGGGTACACAAGGAGCCCATATGACCCATGTGTTTATATGCACAAGCTACATGATGGTAAGCACATATATTTGCTTTTATATGTTGACGATATGCTTATTGCTTCCAGAAATTCTTCGGCTATTCGAAAGTTAAAAGATGAGCTGTCATCCGAGTTTGAGATGAAGGATCTTGGAGAGGCAAAGAAGATATTGGGTATGGAGATCGAGAGAGACAGGGTGAAAGGGAGTTTGAAACTTACACAGAAGAGCTACTTGCAGAAGATGTTGAAGAAATTCAGCTTTGACGGTAATTCAAAAGTAGTTAGCACATCATTGTCTCCTCACTTCAAGCTTTCAGCGTTGATGTCATCTGTTTTAGTTGAGGACAAAGATTATATGTCTAAGGTCCCATATGCCAGTGCAGTAGGTAGCTTGATATATGTGATGGTGTGTACGAGGTCAGATTTGTCACAGGCCGTGAGCATGGTATCGAGATACATGCACGACCCCGGGAAGGGTCATTGGGAGCAGTGAAGTGGATCCTACGGTATGTTCGAGGCACCGTGGATGTTCGTTTAGTATTCCAGAAGGATGAGAAGAATGGGCAGGATTGTATTGGATATGTAGATTCAGATTATGCTGGAGATCTTGACAAACGCCGGTCTACTTCAGGTTATGTTTTTACATTGGCAGGTGCACCTGTATATTAGCGATGCACGCTTCAGTCCACAGTGGCTCTCTCTACTACAGAGGCAGAGTATATGGCAGTAACTGAAGCTATTAAGGAGGCTTTATGGTTACGTGGATTATTAGAGGACTTGGGGATCGCTCAGGAGACTATTCGGGTATAGTGTGATAGCATGTCGGCTATCTATTTGGCGAAGAACCAGGTTTATCATGCGCGCACGAAGCACATCGACGTCAGATTCCACTTTGTACGTGACGTTTTGGATGATGGAGACGTCATATTAGAGAAGGTCCACACGAATGATAACCCTGTAGATATGTTGACCAAAGTTATTTCAGGAGTAAAATTTGGTCATTGTTTGAAGCTTTTGAACATCCTTCAGTGCTGAGGCCTTTGGAGGCCATTTGGGTGAACTACGTTCGGCTTGATTCCTTGGGTAAGAGGATGCGTAGGCAGTCTTTCAGATGCAGCCGGTTTAATCAGTTGATTCAGATGGGGGGAGATCGCGTTTCAGCTCTAGATTGGTTCCCTGACTTGTTGAGGGACTATTGGATGATTTGGTGTTGGCTTAGTTTTGGTGGAAACATTCGCCGAGGTGGAGAATTGAAGAAATACAGGAAACAGCAGAAGAATCAGCCAGACAGACTGGCGGTCGATTGCCGCGGTCGACCACGAACGTGCACGAAGGCCAGTAGGATTCGAAACTGATGGCGGTCAACCACAGATGACTGTAATTGATTTTAGTCTCGGGTTTGTGGTTCGGTCGATTGCCGCGGTCGACCGCGAACTGCACGGTCGACCGCTGCGGTCGAACGCGATCTGTTTTGGGCTGGGCCTTTTGGTTTTTGACCCGGTTCGTTTCTAAGTTGATATATAACCCTAAACCTGATTTGTTAGGGTTAAGCAAGGACGATTTTGATCAGTCTTTGAGAGAGGATTATTTCATCCAATTGTGAGAGAGTTGTGAGAGATCTAGAGCTTTGTTTTAGGGTTTGATCGGTGAAATTTGTAACTCTACTTGTATTCTCTGATTTCTAATAGTAAGAACTCCCCCCTCATTGCCCCGTGGACGTAGGTAGGGCTGAGCATGGTTCGGTCCAAACTGACCGAACCGACCGAACCGACCCGAACCGACCCGAAAAATTCGGTCTTATAAGTAGGGTGGTTCGGGTCGGTTTGAAAACTTTTCAACCTGAACCGACCCGAACCGACCGAATATAGTGCAATACTACCCATTCTGATCTCAAACCCAACCCGACCCGTCCCCAAAGAGCCAAAGATTCAAACCCTAAACTCATTTTCTGAATCATTATGAGTTGAAAATAATATCATTATATAAGTGTTTAATGTTTCATAATCTTCTACTTTGTTGATATCTTTTTTTTCTTTAACACAGTTTGTTGTTTGATAAGAAGTTTGATAAAGTTAGAACTGAACAAACCGAACCGAACCGCACCAAACCGACTTGCAACAGTTCCGTTCGTTTTTGAATTATAGGCGGTTAGGTTCGGTTGTTCAAATTTTGGTAAAAACCACACCGAACCGACCGTTACACACCCCTAGACGTAGGCAACTTGCCGAATCACGTAAATCGTTTGTTCTTGTTGTGGTTGTGTTTTGCATATTAGTTGTGGTTTATCTCGAATTATTGTTCGTGTTGCATATGAAAGCTTCCGCGCACAACAGGATCAACACAAGTACTTATAATCAATCCGAAAAGATCCAGTCACTCCTTGCATAGGAACAGTATACATATATCATTGTGCTCCACACCGCAACAAACAACCGCGGGCATCATCAACTCTGACCAGACTTCACATAACCAGTGAGCATATTGACCAAATGATGAAACTTGATGGTGCCATTGGATATTGCATCCTCGTTCAGTTTGGCTTTCCCTTTTAGACATTTCGTTGAGCAGTACAAGGGGGAAACAAATCAATGCTCAATTCTCCTCCTGAGAGGATTCTATCAAAATGTTCGCACGTGCAACATCACACGACAAGTTCGCATACATCTACGCATTTCTGAGCGAAGGATCTCAAGCACGCGCGCACACAATAAAATCTTGATTCATCTCAGATGTAGCGATTCAAACAGCGGCCATCGATTTATATTCAAATGGCAAAGGAATCCATTCTGTGTGCAAACTTTTCCACGAAATGCCCACAAGAAGTTCAATCTCGCAGAAACCCAATGCTTACCGGATACTGTGTTGACAAGGAATCCAAAATAAACATTTCTTTTTCTACACAAACATTTCTCAAAGTTGTCAATTGTTCTTGTCAGCTTAAAACCAGAACAGGTTCACTAGAACTATAAGCAAGATTCAGTTGGCAAGACTGTCACGTCTTTTCTTATTCTTCAAATAACAATAAATATAAGCATTATCAACATAAACTCCATCCATTTACAAATTAAAGTCTTCTAACGGTAAAAATCTTTTAACTGGTAGTTTTCCCGTAGTCTCATTACACCGTGTGCTCCATTTCCTTCGTTGTTCATCAAAACTTCCAATAACCGCAGACTGCTGCTTGCAACCTAATACTTTAGCAAATTTTCTGTAATACGCTTCGGTATCAAAGCTATCCAGTACATTTACTGATTTACCCTTTCTTTTATCAACATTGATCTCTCCAGATATGGTGACATTAACCGCGACTGTAATTTGTTTTGCTTGCATTGTTTGGTTTAAATTTAACTCATCAGACAAGAACACTGCTCCAAGAATCTCCCCTAAAAATATGTCCTGCAAATAAATATGTAATGTTTGTCAGAATCTTAAGTTTAGCAACTGGAAGTTTTTCAAGAATAAATTTCACAAAACTACAAGAAAAATTTCACAAAACCCACTGAATTTCATGAATCACAGAAAACCTTTATGATCCTATCTCACTTATGCATCATGACTGAAGACGGTCACTTTAAGTTGTCACTTGCTCCACAGATTATGTAAAAAGTAAATTAAAAAAAAAAAGTTTAGACTTTTACTCTCCTCTTTGTAGTGCAGTTTACAAGATTTTCCAATAAAATCTAAAGGCTGGGGAGTTTTGTGAAATTTAAACATTTCTAAAAATATTTAATTACCATATGCCGATATAGATGGTTTTTCCTTTGCAGTCTGTGCATGAAGCATAACAATCTACGAGCAAAAATTGATTCAGGAGTCTTCTGCATAGGCAGAAGTTTTAGAATTGCAGGGAAAGAAATCACTTTGCGCTGAGCGCTCAGAGGGATGAGTGTAACGTTAAGATTGGATTCAATAATGCTTTTTGCAGATAGAGGATCAAGAAACATGTTGAACTCAGCATATTTGCTCGAGGAAAAGGTGAATATGTTTCCATCTTCACGTCGGTCGTCTATAATATGTCCTCCAACTATGTATACTTTCTGCGGAAGAATCAAAGTTGATGTTAATGACAATGAGATAATAAATGTAAATTTGGTACTTTATGTTTTGTTCAACGTAAACCATGAAAATGATACATATCTTGAGAGGAATAGACAATGTTGAGTAATTCTTTGTTATTTTACAAATATGCAATAAGAAAATAAGCACTTATATGCTTGTTTTACATCCTCATTATTTTTCAGATACTAAAAATGTAAAGTTTGCTTACCTGAATAAAATTAGTTGCATTTTTATCTGAAAGAATGATGTTGGCTAAGTTGGTAAGAGGCCCGTTGGTCAAAATTGTAATCTTTTCACTTAGATTATCTGCCCTTGAAATTGATTGCCAAACTTCCAAAGCTAGTGCCTGCTTTTGTTCAGGGTGATCTGAATTTTCAGCTGTATACCTGATCATAAGCAACACATTCAGAGTTTGTTATTCATAAGCAATTTTTTAACTGTGTATCATCAACCGTATTCAGTCAGAAAATCAAATCATAAATTAATTTAACATATCAACAGGTAAAGATAAAAGATGTTATCAAATTACAGCCTTTATTTTTAAATGGTGTGTAAAAATTTTCATGAACACTTTCTTTACCTGAAAAAACTGTTACGTTTGTGAGAATTATCAAATTGCCAAACTTTTCTGAGGCAAATGGAAACTGAAATAGTTTGTGTAAAAGATGCTACCTTCTAGGGCTCCTTGGCAGATTACGTGCAAGTCCAAAAAGCGTATCGATATCAATATATCCACCACTTCCATGAGGTATAGCACTTACATACTTGCATCCAAGATCAGGAGTGCCCAATGCACTTACACTTCCTAGGCCAACAGGAATATCATCACGGCCCATCATATGTAAAACATCGTAGACAATATCTATTGTCGCAGGATTTGCCCATCCATTGCCATTTATAAGGATTCCCTAAAATAAGGATAGAGAACCTTGAAAATAAGTTATCACATATGTCATTGATCAAATGAGGGTGAATGTCGCAAAATCCTACCTGGACTTTTGGCTTTTTGTATAAACCCCCAATAAGTCAGATAAAACTCCTATGAACTTACTAAAATCATACGAAATCTTCTTGAACAGTTGGAAACTGTAATAATTGATGTTAACGTAAAGAGCTATAGATCTAAACTATCTTTAATAATTAATATCTGTTAGCCCTAACCTGAAAAATGTTTGTTCTAGGTGAAAATAAAAGTATAGGGGCTACATTGTCATAAACAGCATAAATGTAAACAGTAAAGTTCTGTAAACCCTAATCCAAAAAAACTTTTCCTCGGTAAATATGAAAAGGTCAGTAATGTCAAAATTGTCCAGAACATGTCATGTGCAAGACATATAACAAAAATAACCGCTATTTTGGTAATGATATATAAGTGAAATTATTTTACTGAGACTTTTCCCACTTATAAAGTCTAAGATGGTTATGTGCAAAACAACGCAAAGTTCAGGAGGAATTTGTGAAATTTACCCAAGCAATGAAGTTAGTAGTAGAAGAACAACTATGAGTGCAAATTTACCTTGATGTCAATTACTTCAGTGGGCACTTTGAGGAGGTACATGAGGGAAATAAAGTCCCCAGCACTCATGTCCATATCAAAAATTACAGGTTTTCCCATTTTTCGATTTGTGAAGTCTGGCTTGTATAACGTTTCATAATAGTATGGGAATTGTGTACTAAAGTTGAAACGCCCGGTTTGTTGAGGGCGGTTTAGAACCTGTATTCCACAATAACAGATCAAAATGTCAGTATAATCTAGACAGAAATAAATAAAATTTCAGTACATTAGAACTTTTGCCTGTGCTTTGTTAAAAAATAATGAATCAATGATCAAAGATAAATAGGGAAGAAGTTCAAAAACTTACATCCAAAAAGCTTATGAAAAATTCTCTGTCAAGTTTGCTCTTAACATCTCGGTTTGGTTTTGCTTTAGTCGCAACAAGTACTTGGACTGCTTCTGGGCCAGTTACTTCCTTGGTGTATCCATCCTTAGAGCATCATACATCATTCATCAATTCATCAATTTCTCCTAGCATAAAATTAGGGTTTCTGCAGTTTAAGAGTTTTTCTTCCCTAGAAACCACCATATATTTAGGGTCAATTTAAATAGGCCACATTATATTTTCAACTTTTACATAAACCACCCATAATGCCAGCATTTCTTGCAATCAACCGCCTAACCCATCTTTGCTGCTAAAATTTTCCTAAAATCCCAACAAAACCCTCACCTAATCTCACGTGTGTAATACGTGACCTCTCTTGTTGATGCTCTAAAAGCTTTCCATGTGAGATTAAGTGAGGTTATTGTTGGGATTTTAGAGAAATTTAGCAACAAAGTGGTGTTACATGGTTGACTGAAAAAAAAAACTAACTTCTTGAGTGGTTTATGTATAAATTGGAAATTAAGGTGGCTTACGTAAATTGACCTTAAATATAATGTGATTTCGAGGGGGAAAAACCCATAGACCACAAATAGTATGGCTACTTCGAACTTACTACCCTGTCAATTTTAGTTTTACAGATAGACCACCATAGTGATTTTTTCCCCTATTCGGTTACCATCAAGGTGCACTCATTTCTTAAAAAAAATTCACTCAGGTGGTGTATCAGCAAAAATAGAAGTAGAGTGTGGCAGTATGTTCAAAACAACAATACTACAGGGGAGTCTATCCACAATTAGGCAATAAAATTACAGTAGGAATCACATTAGATAAATGCTCCACAGAATCAAAGTACCTCACATATTCCTTTTCTCATTTCCTTTGAGAAGCAAAATGGATCTCGAATGCCAGTCTGAACATGACCACTGTGTACTCCGTTCTTTGTCAAATTGAACTTAGGAATTGCATGACCATTAAAGAATGGGTTTGACCCATCATTTACACCATATGGTTTATTTGAAGTAATGACAGATATATTCATATATTCCATCTCAGCAAACTCATTTTCACCGGTTTGACTGTTATCATTGCGCATTATTGAGAGAGCAACACCAGCCATAAACGAATCCCACATGAAATAACTCTAAAAACAGTTCGAAACAACAATCATTAACTATTAATAAGGATAAATTTCAGAGAACTACCTGGAGTCAATTTACAAATCATATAAAACCTCCTTACATTTCCAAATGTTATAATAGGCATAAAAAAAGAACAAAAACTAAGCTACCCTTTATGTACTTTATATGCATCCTTACTTGAAAAGAATAATGTAGAAGTTATATTTAGTAGATAGAGTTAAAATTGTTCAAACACCGTCACGTGCAGAGACAAGTTCCCCACATAACCAGTTAAAGTAACAATAATCAATCATAATACATTAGTGAGAAAGGGTTAGAATAGTTTTCTGTGGATTATAAGTTCAAAGGGGTTAATTTACACAAAATTTGTCAAGGTTATTCATCAAGTTCTGTAAAATTTACCCATTAATAAACTCTTAGAAAGGGAGAAATTTTTGTAACGGACTTACAGTATAACAATGATCATTGAACCTGGCATTACAGAAAACTTTCAAAGAAAGAAAGCAGTATTGTGCCTCGTATGTATCCTGTCGCCTTTCAAATTCATTGAAGAATTGTTTGGTTATGGGGATAGTGTTGGTTGCATCCAATGGAACAAGGGTCACTGGAATTCCTGAATGCAATACCTACAATAAGGCTATAAAGATTATATACTCAAATTTGTGCATGCTTATAAACTAAGAACATGATAATTAGGAAGTAATACAACACATGAACTACAACAAAAACATAGCATTGTTTTAACATTATCAGTTCAAAACTTGAATTTGATAATGGCAACTTAGTCGGGAATAATTGATGTAAAAGATGATGGAAGTTTACGATAATTCTATTCACAAATGTCATTCTCAACAACACAACAACTACAATACGTAAAACTAGTGGTTTATTAGGTAAAATTGAGAAGCTATAATGAAACATTAAGATCATAAACTGTTTATTATTTCAAAGAATTTTTTTTAAGAGAAAATCATTAAAAACTTTTTCAAGTATCATTAGAGAAAGTATAACATGCATAATGGTTTTCAGACATTTTGTCCTAACTTTATTTATATAACTGTTATTTTTGGTTGTACATATGAAGCTATATTCGCATCATTAACAACATTAAAATATATTGCTTTTGAATTAGAAGTTTTTGGCAAAGCCTCGATAGTTCATGGTAGTTTTCTAAAATTTATCGTATAAACATCTGAGATGAAACTGAACTATCTTATGCTTTTCTCCATAGTATTCACTTTAAATGTATCCACAATTATTTGAATCTAAGTTGCTCCCATGCAATTTTAAATTCTCCTATACTACATCACAACTCCAATTAATGATGAGAGCTGAGGAATATACATATGTACCTGATATGCTGCAAATGGGTCTCCAAACATATTGAACTCAGCATAAGGATTGCTCTTATATGCAGTAAATACATTGCCATGATCTCCACATTGTTCAGGTACACAGTAGCTACTACTATTCTTGGGACAACATCCTGTAGGGTCCTTCGACCTTACGCCACCACCCATGACATAAATATGTTCAATGTTTTTTGTCAATTTTGGTTTTGTCATGAGAAAAAGTGCAAAATTTGTGTGTGCTCCAACTAAAAATACAGTTGTTGGGCCTGCAGAAATTGTGTCGACCATCACCTCTTGAGCTGTGGGCTGATGAAGAGGACAGTACTTCCTTGGTCCCTAATTATCAATGAAAATATTAGATGTGAACTGATTATCAATGAAAATAGTAATAAAAAAATTTGGTGTACTAGTCGTAGATATAGCTTCTGAATTACAGAGGTTAGTCACTTGTTATTCCTAGTTTTTGTATTTGCACTTTTGACTTCCTGATTTCAAAATGGAGTTATTTCTGTGTCATCTGCAGCCTCAGGTAGGTGACACATTATATCAATTTGTCATATGGAAATTCTCGGATATTTTAGCGTTATAGAGAAATTCTTGTGTGTTTATTAAGAGTAGTTGGAGCAACAAATGCATTTACATATACATTATGCATTATGTAGTCACAACTTCTTCTGCCTGAACACCTCTCAACTTGAAATAGCATCAACCCTCAGACTTTAAGCTATTTTGCTTTGCAATAACTTTTGGGAGTCGCGCACAATAATTTTCAAGAAAGTATGAATACCACAATTAAGGGATATGTCCAGATAGGCGTAACTGGAGCCCATGTTGTTCCCCTCAATCCAAATTTGAATAAAGATGTTCGGTTGCATTGCTACAACATTCAATTAATTAAGAGGCATTCCTACAGAAGGAGTTGAAAACTAAATGTACGATGTTGCAACTGCATTTGCTTTTTCGAGTATATAATACTGACCACACATATCATTTAAATGTAGTTGGAAAGATATGAAACTCCGACCGCATACTTTTATCCATATGTTATAGGTGTTGAACATGCATCACTATAATAGATGTACAGATAGTAAAAAAAAAACCAAGTGCTAAAAAAAAAGGCCATGAAAATTGTTAGATGAACCTTCAACAAACAAGTACCGAACATTATCCTTGTAAGTACTAAAATTAAAGACAGGAATTATAGTCCTATCTAAACGGATTTTATTTTTAATTACCTGTGGAAGAAAACTCCTTCGAAAGCCATAATTTGTATCAGTATCTAATCGTCCTGGAGAGCCTACTGGAATGGCTTATCACCTGCCGTTGACATGCCCTGCAAAAATTATACTTTAGCGTCTAGAAATACGTAGGAAAAAAATAGTATTCTTGTAGAACTCACAATAAGAATTCACATACAATATTTTTCAAATCTAATAAATGTTATTAAGAGTTCATTATGTACACCGTACAAAGCCTCAAGCGATGTGAAATTAGTGTTTACATTCCCTTTCAGTACTTTTGATATCACTTGTTGGAATAAAAATCAGGTCTCTTTGACTTAATTTTTTTTTAAGCAAAGTGTAAGAACTGAGGAGGTATTCTGGTCCAAACCTTTCAGTCTGTAGCTAGATATATTTTCGATCTTTGGGTAATCTAATTGAATGCTCTTTCAGAACGTTTAACTTTTTGTTGGAAACATGGTAATAATGAAATTGGAATCACTCATTCAAAATGTTTAGTTTTTTTAGAGGAACATGGTGATAATGCAATTGTAATTACTCATTTATTTATATTTGGGTTAATGGTAGATAGAATCCCCTATACTAACGCTGTTTTGGTATTACTACCCCTCTAATTTGCTTTCTAAGTGAATTTTTAGGGCAATTGGATTGCTGGTCAATGAGGATCATCTCTTAATTGGACGCTCATACCAATATCTTTAAATATTGCTGGGATGACTAGTCATTTAATTAAATACTAATTGGGTCTTCACATGCTCTTCATTGTTATGAATGTACATTTTCATTCACTTATAACCAATAAGATTATTCAATATATCACAGGTTAATATTTTCAAGAATAAACTGCAAAATGCAACATAATTACCCAATGTACAATTTACCTGATTTGTTACACATTTTCGTTTTCCATGGATGATCTAGATATTACATATAGGAAGAAATTCATTATGTCAAATGATTAAGATGGAAGAAATTCATTATGTTAAATGATCAAGACTTTTTAATGCAACATTAGCAAAATCATATATATCAATAGACAGAAAGCATTAGAAGTGATTAACGATCTAGTCATTGTTTAATTAGATGACTAGCTATCAAAGCAACTAAAAGTGTAAGTACAAAAATCCAATAAAGCGATAATTACAGTGACCAACAATCCAATTAAGCAGGATTTTTTTTTTCTTTTTCATTTAGAGGTGTATTTGCCAAAAACAATTTTGTCCTTCTCAGAGGGTAAAACTATAAAAAAAATCACTTAAGGATCCATCCGCAAAAATAAAACTAGAGGGATTTATAAGTTCGACACATCTATACCGCAGCGGATCTTCTATCTGCAATATAAACCCATAATTTCCCTAAGGTAAAGAAGCATTGTGATAATTTGGTCGCAATTACGCAAGTTCGTTTACTTTTACTTTCTTTAATATAAACATGGTAAAGAAAATGAGTAGTCTGTTCATACTTGTTCAATTATAGGGAGATATCCACCAACATTTGCACCTATTTTACCGTCAGGTGATATTCCACCTTCACCTCCAACTCCTACGGGAATATCATCACGATCCATCATGTGAAGCATATCGTACACATGGTTCACTGCATGTCCAGCATCGGTCCATGAGTTCGCATTAATTGTAACAGCCTGCAGTAAAAAGTCAAAATTTCACGTACACAGATGATTTATGGAGGAAGAACTTTCGACGGTAGGTATCAAATTCGCAAAGAACATATTTATTTCAGTAGAAAATTAAACCTTCATACTTAATTTCTCTGATCAAAGACATTTACGGCAACCAGGGAAACTAATAAAACCGTGAAAAGATGGCTTAAGTTCTCTTTTAGCCTTCTCATATTATTACAGATAACTAGGGTTATACCCACCCAATGCTGCAGGAATTTTTTTAGTACATTTTCTATCAAAATAATAAACTTGAATTTAAAGATAATTATATATTAATGAAGGCTGCAGAAATTCTTTTTGTTGTGATATTCCCCTACACTAAAAATAAAATGTTGTCTTAGCCATTAATTCGAACTTGAATTATGATTTAACTTTATAATATTGTATACATGCATAATGAGGACAAAACAAAAAAGAGCAGAGAGTTATTTTAATATACAATAGAAAAATGCAAAAGTTTTATAACTTTCTCATAAAAATAATTAGCCAATTCTAAGCCAAATTAATTATGTAAATCAAGCAATCTCTCTCTCTCTCTCTCTAGGAATTAAAACCATTTGTCTGTTACAAGAAATTTATGATGCTAAGTAAGAGAATATAATAAATTGTAATAGTACAAATTAATATTTCATAATAGATTAATTTAAAATTCATTGCAGTAAGGCTTTAAGAAAATATAAATTTTACGTACGTTGGAAGAACGCTTTCATTATTTTGTCTATTCGTACTTCAAAAGGTTTGGCCGTTGGAAATATGATAGTTGGATGCATCATTTCAATCCTATGCATCTCCAAATTTCAAAACTCACTTTCATTCAGAAACTTCCTCTTCATAAAAACAGGTGTAAGAGGCATATTGAAAATTCAAAAGGTTTTAAAAAAATACTTGCCAATTAATAAGAGAATTTTCTCAAGAAGAAGTTATTAAGAGAAATGATTAAGAGGGAGTTGAGAGGGCACCAGTTAAGAATGTGTAAGAGTTATAAACAGAAAGGAAGAGAGATTTTTTTTTTTTTTTTGGGGGGGGGGGGGGGGGGGCTGTGTTCTGATAATCAAAGCTTGCATAATTTTGTTATGTGCACAATTAGTGTTTCCTTTTGGATTTTTTTTAAGAAACCATCTTTAAAATGGGATGATTGTACGAAAATCACCTTTAAAGTTTAATTTATATAAAAGCCGTCTCTAAAAGTTGTTGCTTGGAACATGAGTGTTCAAGTGTATTTTGGATGTTTTATTCAATTTTTTTTTAGAAAATAGGTCAAAGTGGTCGATTGCCACTAGAAAGCCCTTTAAATGTAGCTTATGTATAAATCTCACTAAATTATTTTGTTCAAGCG